ACTGAATTATGTTTTATGTTAGATTTTTTTTTCTGCTGCCATATTTTTTTTCTTTTTTGCCTGTGGGATACCATTAAAATGAAGATTAGTTCAATAACTTATCATTCTGCCATGGTTTTCACCTCTGATATTATAACAGTGATTACAGCCCATTTATACTATGCTCTTAAAGTATGTACTCTTTTGCTGAAGAAAAAGTACACACTTTTGAGTGTGTAGTAGAAAAGTAGGTAAGCTTTGGGATATACTATCACGTCACACAATTGCGTCTTTAAAAGGACCGCTCTATCGCACCTGTTACATGCACCCTGTCAATGTAAACTGGCCTGTCAATCATCTTGTCACAGTTAACTTCCTCCACATTTTATTTAATTTAACTTCCTACCATATTGGAGAGAAAAGTAGCACATTAATCTGCCAGTCGGGGGTCTTTCATGCAGAGAACTCTGCTCATATTTTCTGCACAACGATGCATTTAAAAGTTAACGACCAAATGGATGTTTATAAAAGTTCACATTGCTGTTGCAGATGAAATATAACACGGATAACAATAAATAAATATTTTTTACCAGGTTGAATGTTGATTATTAGCAGGGATGTGAAGTAACTAATTACAAATACTCACATTACAGTAATTAAGTAGTTTTTATCAGTAATTGTACTTTTTGAGTAGTTTAAAAATTGTTTACTTTTACTTGAGTACATTTTAAGTGATGTATCGGTACTTTTACTCCGCTATTTTCCTCCTTTTGTGGTCGTTACATGATTATTTTAATTTTATTTTTATCCATCAATGTGATTGGCTAGAGAGATAGTAATAGGTCTCGTGACTTACGTCAAATCAAATTGTGCATAGAAAACTTTAACCGCCAACTGTTTATCATGGCTGCTGGAAGTGCATTCTTCAAGCATCAATTCAGTTGAATCTTGCTCTAACTTAATATGTTAAGGTAAATTTCGGATTTCTGCTTACTAAATGATTTGTATATATGCTTGCCTATCTACACGGCCTGAAATTTGGTGTGAGGTTGTGGGTATTGCATACAGTCCTCCCACAAGTGCCACATTCGGTAAATTCCCACTTATGCGACGAGCGATCTGCACTGCCTCGTCTCTCTCTCGCGTGCGTTCTGCAGTAGTCACTTGGAAAAGTCGTTGTAGTTTGTTGAACTTGTTGACTTTTGATGAGTTTGAGCTTGTGTTGCGCACTATGAAAAAGTGTGTTGGAAACACCAATTGAGGCCCAATCTGCACCGTATTGATGACCCGTGGTGTTAATATAATGCATCTGTGCCAGCGCATGATGTAATAAAACTGCAGCTCGTTAATAAACATTTTAATTATAATGTATCCATTTTATACAATCCGCCTTCATTTAGCAAGTGCACCCATGCATAAACAATTTTCAAGTTCAACACGTTTTGTTCCGTTCAGTTGTGGATGCAGCTGATTCACTGAGACCGCGCGCGTGTGTGTTTTCCTTTGAAAAAGTTTCTCCAGAAATACCTCGTTATTTAATGCATTTTTCCTTACAAATTGTATTATCAGCATAACAATTCGAGTAAATGTGTAAAAGGTATGGCATGA